CAAAATCCTAGCTATAACTGGGACTGTAAGAATAGTGGTCAAGGTTTGTTTCCTATTGCTGTTGTAACAAATTATGACGAACTTAAAGGCTTCAAGCAAGACAGATTTATCATCTTATAGATAAGGAGGTCAGAAGTCTGAAAAGGGTCTCACTGAGCTAAAATCAAGGGGTCAGTGGGCTGAGTTCCTTCTGGAGGCTCCAAGGTTCCATTTCCTTGCCTTTTCCAGCTTCTAGAGGCCACCCACATTCCTTGGTCCTTGGCTCCCTTCTTTTATCCTCAAAGCCAGCAAAACTGCATCTTGCTGTGCCTTTCTTCTATAGTTATATTATCCTCTAACTCTGACCTCCCCTCTGCCTCCCTCTTCCACTTTTAAGGACCCTTGTGATGACAGTGGGCCCACCCGGACAATCCAGGATAATCATTCCATCTCAAGGTCAGCTGATTGGCATCCCTAACCCCATTTGTAAACTTAATTATCTTTTGCCATGTAACATAATATATTTACATCTTTGGGAGGTGGTGGCTATTATTCTTCCTACCAAAAGCCTATACTAGGATTTCTGAATTTGAGCAAACCTGAGAAGTGTCATATATAGCACCATTGTTAATATCTGGTGCAAAATTTAGTCTGTTTCTTCTAACATCAGTTAAGTGATTAAAAAATATGGCTAGGAGTACAACTAAATGTTTGCTTCTTTGTTTAGATTCAATCGTATCTATTAAGGTGTGAATTCAATGGTAACATACTTGATCCCTTTGTCTCCATCCATTTATCACCTGAACTATTTATTGTCTGTTATGTTCTTAAGGCACTCACAATCCATCTTCAGAGAAGTAGATTGTCCATCTTCATTCTACCACTCATCCTAATGCTTTACCACTGTCAAGAAAATTCCCTTAGTCTCCGCGGAGATGGAAAGGGAGACTAGGTAGTAAATAAAATCCCTTTAACCATGATTAAGTTATCAGGAACACTTCCTACAAGGTAAATAATCCATATTCCATCTTAGGTACCACACCTGAAATTATTTTGGCTGTTTTCCTTGGGATCCTTGCCAATTTTCTTTCTCTAATATAAAAAAAAATGTCCCTTAAGTACACATAAAACACCACGAGGAACATTTCTTCCCTCTCCCTTGGACACTTCTGAGTGGGTCAATTGTCTCTTGCTTTTATTACTGTTACTAGCCTTAAAAGGGAACCAACAATATATATTTCAGCATTTTAATTAAGGCCATGTTTATAGTCAGAATGCTGGAGCAAGTTTTGACCAGGAACTTAACTGTAGAAATAGGAAGTAAAACAACATCCATAGGCAAACAATACGGATGAAGCCTTCATCACTGGCGTGTATACTAGAACATCTTTGTTTTTCTTTGTGTTTTAGTTGTTTATTCAATCACCCATGGATATATCAGAAACTAAGTCATTAAGAGTGCTTAACTACAACAAGGAGGAAAATTTTAGAATCTTCAGCACTGGGAGTATTTAAAAGGAAGATGTATAACACATTTTTATGCATAAAGTGAGGTTGATAAAATAGTGCAGTCACTGTGGAAAACAGTTTGGCCACTCTTCAACATGTCAAACAACTACCATATGACCTACAATTCTACTCCTAGGTAAATCCCCCAAAGAATTGAAAACAGGTATTCAAACAAATACTTGTATGCAAATGTTAATAGAAGCATTATTCACAATAGCCAAAAAGTGGAAACAACCCATAAGTCCACCAGTTGATGAATGGATAAATGAAACGTGGTATATCTGTGCAACGGAATATTATTCAGTCATAAAAAGGAATGAAGGACTGACACCTGCTATGACATGGATGAGCTTTGGAAACATTACGTCAACTGAAAGAAGTCAGATACAAAAGACCACACATTATATGATTGCATTTGTTTGAAATATCCAGAAAAGGTAAATCCTTAGAGACTGAAAGGAGATTGGTGGTTGCCAGGGCCTGGAGGGGAGGGAGGAGTGACTAGTGACTGCTAGTGTCTATAGGGCTACTTTGTGGGGTGATGAAAATGTTCTGGAATTAGATGTTGGTGATGGTTGTACAACATTGTGATAATACTAAAACCCACTGAATGGTACATTTTAAATTGGTGAACTTTATGGTATGTGAATTATATCTCAATAAAGCTTTTACTTTTTTAAAAAAGTCAGGCTGAGTTGCATTTATGTGAACCCTAGCAAGAAATGACTGCTAGACACTGTCTTGGTCAGCTCTTCATCAGAGTACTGGGTAAGTTGCTAAGTGTCACAACTTAAGAAAAAAGTAAAAAAATAAAAACAAAAAAACCCCCAAATCTCACAACTTGGCAAGGGTTCTGAGCAAAGCCATAAAGAATTGGAAAACAAAGCCCTATGGAGAAAAGTTAGAGGAATTTTAGATTATTCTAGTGAAGCAAAGGCTTTAGGATAATATCCTGGAGAGGGGAATATGAGGCTTTGAGGAGGCATCAGCCAGGCTGTGATATTTGACTCCTAGCAGGAGTCAGATATCACACTCAGAAGTGTTCACAGTAAAGAGCTGTATGAAGGGACTATTTAAAGAAGCACGAGCAGGGTGAAGGGAATCAACAAGGGTCGTGACCCACCCAGGGACTGGCAACATTGGGAAGCTGTCTGGGCTTGCAGAGAGGGGTAAGGGGAGGGAGTGATACAGGAGAGCAGAGAGAGCCTGGGGATTTGGAGGAGGGGCTACTCAACAGGAGCTCCCATCTTCCAGTGTAGTCACTGCTAGAACTGCAGTGAAGCAGGGAGAGGGATAAATACCCTGACCTCTCTCTCCTTCCACCCTGCTGTCTCCTGATGGTGCCATCCATTGACCAAATCAAGAGGGAAGCCAGAAAGCAAAGGCATCCAGGCAATGTGGTCCATAGAAGCCAGTCTTTCAAAGCACAGAGAAGGTCACAGAAGAGACTGTGTGTGCGTGTGCGTGTGTGTCTGGCAGGGCAAATGGAGAATAATTAACACAGTACCTACCTGTTAAGCCCACAGCTCCCTTATTAGAGAAGCTGAGGCAACAAACACCTGCATAGGCGCCATGCTTTATACCTTGTGATTCCAATATGCTGACCATACCAGCAACCAGCACTCACCCACCTCATTTAATCCTCATAGCATAATAACCTGTAACATTCTCTTTATGATACCCATTTAATAGATGGAAAAACTGTGGCATTTGGAGATTAAGTAATTTACCCAGTGTTGCATAGCTGCTAGTAAGTAGAGAAGGGATGATGTGAACTCAGGGAGGGAGTCTGGCTCCAGAGTTATTCTCTTCATCACTACACTCACTGGACTAGGGATTGGGCAGGACTCCACAGGCTGGCCAGCAACCTCATTGATAGTTAGCCGAACGGTAGAGCTCTGCCTTCGGATGTTCTCTACTGCATGGTGATTGGCTGACAAAACCCAATATTGTAAGAGAGATCTGAAGGCAAGATACAGAGCAGGACACCAGATCATGGAGTTGGTAAGAGCTGAGAGAAAAAGAGGGTAGTTAGTACCACAGGAGAAGTAATGAGCTCCATCATCACTATGGCTGGGTCACCATGGTGGGAAGCAGTGGACTCTTGCTGCAGAGGGGACACCTAGAGCTGTTGCTTAGCTGATAGAGCAGATGCTGGTCTTCTAGGACTACAATGTATCCCGAGCCAGGCTGCAATTTGATGAGGCCCACCTTTGAGGCTGCTGATGCCTTTTCTTGTTCTTTCCTTACTTTCCCCTGTGTCGTTACAATAATTCCTCACTAACTGAGGCAATCTGAACCACTCCACGGTCCTTGCATTCTAATAAAGCCCAACAGAGATGAGTTGATTATTTAAATATATGAGGGTCTCTTGGGCAAAGAAGAGTCACCAGTCTGTTTTTTTTTTCCCCTCCCTATGCTTCCCTCTGGAAAGAAAGAGAGGAAATCGACACACTGTAGTCTAAGAAATATAGGTCATTTATATGCGAATTATACCATGATAGACACTTCCAAGGGAGAATATGAAAAGATCTCCTCTAGAGAACTTTAAAAATAGTCTTCTCATCTGTCCAAGGGTGGTTTCCATGAGCTACTGCCTGAAGGTACAAGAGTCAATGGCTCCCAACCGTGGTTCCGAAGGCCTGTCAGGTCTCTTAGGAAGTTTTCACTGTCTTCTACAGACTGAGAGAAATAAAGACATCGGTGTCTCTCTGCCTATCTGTCTGTCTCTCTGAGCATCAGTATTAGATTGCTTACTACCATTTCTTAAGACAGACTATTCCTTTTTTTGATGCTAAGGTATTCCTCCTTGATGAAATTATGGTACTGGTAGGCAATAGTAGATTGTAGGTGCTTTTTTTTTTCCTTTAAAAAATACTCTTACTTGGCAAAATAAAAAGTTGGCAAATCTGTCTCAGTCTCATTTTTAAAAAATGCCGTTTGTCTGAAGGAATTAAATATCTGAAGATCACAGACCCCCAAGGACCTCTTAAGGTCCCCGCTATTTGTAAGATTCTAGGTTTTAAAGTCAAAAAGGACTAGGAAGGCAGGATGACTTTTTATTTAACCTACCACAGTAACAAGTTAATGGAGTCTAACTATCCTAGACATAAAAAATAGTACGTGGAGATGCCTGTAAGTTAAAATTTTGTATTTTCTAAGTGGAAATGACAGTCTAAATGTCAAATATGAAAACATGACCTGAAGAACGCCACACCAAAGGTCACAGTTAGAAGGCAACACTCAGCTCTGGAGACAGTTACAAGTCAGATATTGTGTGATTCCACTGGTATGCAGCCATCATGAAAGAGGAACTAAAATCGTTTTGAAGCAACAATGTGTCAAAAGGGAACTCTAAACAGGCCCAAAGGGAGTGTTTAAATGAAAAAGTGCCTTAGATCCCTCAAATAGAAGAAAACCCATAATTATTCCAAATACAAATTAATATGCAGCTAGTACTTTCTGTTTTGTGAACACAACACTGCTATTTACACAGAATTATTTCAACATACCCAAAGCCTCTGCCAGGCCCCAAACCTTCTGTCCATAGATGTCAGTCTTGTTCCAAGCAAATGTGTAGACAAGATTAATTGCAGCGGGAAACCACTTCTGTGTGAGTCGCCCTTCCACAGCTACTGTGAGGTGTACTTTTATCATCCCCACGGGGATGGTTGAATGTGTTAAAAGGATCCGAAGCAGGGTTTTATACCCGGGGGTGCGGCTGCTTAGGTAACTCAGCCTGACAAAGCTGGAAGGAATGGGGATCTCCTCCTGTACAACCTGAAAGAAAAAAAGTCACATTGGCTCTTATCAGCGGTCACAGGTAGGCAAGGATACTGCATGCTTTTGTCTTAGAAACATGCCAGAGGAGAGAGCTTAAAGGGATTATGGATGTCAAGGCATTTGGTCTAGAATCTTTGTGAGGCTACATGACCATAGGTTTCGAATTTTGCACCAAATCTGCATGAGGACAAGACGTTTAGCCTATCCTGAGGATTGCTCTCCTTTTTTTCCTGCCAGGAGAGACTGTGAAAATAACAATTTTGGTTTTTCAACAATGTTCCAAAAATTGCTTTGTAGGAGTTGGAGAAGATCACACTGCTGAAGGTCAAGGATTTCAGCGCTATGGGTTCCATCAAAGGTTTTTTCTCATATATTCAGACACAAAAGCTTGTTCGATGTGTTAAGTTATATATCACAAACCACTGTTGTAGCTCTTATTCAGGTTAGGCTCTCTAAGAGGAAGGACTCTGGAAGCAGGCCCAGCAAGTGATATTTTATGACAGAGATTATGGTGTCCCTAGAACTAATCTTTCCTGATGCCATCAAACTTGCCTTCTTTGGAGCTTTGCAATGACCCCGAGGGCCAACTTTTTAATCAAACTTTGCTTGCATATTTCTCTGTGTTTGGATGTATCAATAGCTAGCAACAAGTTTTTCCAAGCTGGCACCTGTGACTGAGAAGCAAATAACTCCCATTAACTCCTCTGCAAATCTTTTACAAACGTTGGTCCCAGAGTGAAAATAACTCTTGGCTTCCTTAATTAATTACTATTACTTATTTGTTTATTAGCATGGATGGAGTTAACCAAAGGGGTCACTAAAACTACATCTTGTATTCTGTGACTTTCAACTTTTCAAATACAGCTGAAGAAAGAGCCCATCCTATTTAACACATTTAAGGCGAAATGGATAGTGTGGATATTTTGGTGCCCTTATTCACTTTTATCTTAGAACCTTGTCCCTTCTTCCTTTTCCAAACTGGTGCACATAGTAGAACTTATTGTTAAACACACTCTATCTCATGTAGTCCAGGATTTCTAGTTATTCTTTTCTTTCTGAGGGCACAAATCCCTTTTGTCTATTCTTTGCCCAGTTTTTCTTCCTTTACATTAGCTATTTTTTTGTGTGTGTGTGTTACACAGGACTCTCACTGTTGTGGCCTCTCCTGTTGCGAAGCACAGGCTCTGGATGCGCAGGCTCAGTGGCCGTGGCTCACGGGCCCAGCCGCTCCGCGGCACGTGGGATCTTCCCGGACCGGGGCACGAACCTGTGTCCCCTGCATCGGCAGGCGGACTCTCAACCACTGCGCCACCAGGGAAGCCCTACATTAGCTATTTGATACCAAAGCTGTCCACTGGCTCTATCTTCTTAGATGCTGGCAGAAGTACAATAGTGAAGGATAGCATGACACTCACCACTGTGGTATTTCATTTCCCTAAGGAATCATGCAATCCTAGAGCAGTTTGAAAACTTGTACTGAAAGAGACCCATGCTTCCTAATATCTGTGAAAGGATTGGTGTACCCGCCCAAGGTACTCATTAAGTACTATCTAGTTTTTTCTTCCTTTCTTCAGGAAAACAATAGAAAAGACAGGAGTGGCAACTCTCCAGACTCCTTTTTGTGGAGGGTACTATTTTTTGTGAGCCTTTCTCAAGTGGTCCTCTGGGAAGTGCTAACAGCTGGTGGGGATGTTGTGATGGAAGAAAAAACCAATTCAATCTTTGACTGTTCATTTACCTCTTCTTGAGCATACTTGAATCCTGGATCTGTCTGATTTATGAGTCCATTTTTGTGGACATTAAACTATCATTAAAATATTAAAATTAAAGTACCATTAAAATGTTTCTATAACATAGTGAGAAAATTGTACTATGGATATCTGAATGACTTAGAATTGAAATGAAAATACTGAATGATCAATAAAGAAAAATCCTCAGGCTGCCACTTCTGGGCTGCGCCCTAGCCCAGCAGCTGAGGCGTGGTTGTACCCTCATGGATGGTGGAGGTGGCAGCGAGCTAGAGCCCGCTTTGCAGTGCGTGGCCACGTAGAGGCCGGGCGAGTCCGGGCACCGGTACCCGGCCCAGGCTCGGCGAGCAGCTCTGCGCGCGGCGGGGATCATGATATACTGAAAAAGCACTCAATCAAGAGAAATCTCGGGGGAGCTGGAAACTATCAAGTTACTGAGGCCAAACAGGGGTCTGAAAAGATAGAGTTTTACAGGAGGAGCTTCAAGATGCTGGAAGAGTAAGACGTGGAGATCACCTTCCTCACCACAAATACATCAGAAATACATCTACATGTGGAACAACTCCTACAGAACACCTACTGAACACTGGCAGAAGACCTCAGACCTCCCAAAAGGCAAGAAACTCCCCACGTACCTGGGCAGGGCAAAAGAAAACAGAAAAAACAGAGACAAAAGAATAGGGACGGGACCTGCACCAGAGGGAGGGAGCTGTGAAGGAGGAAAGGTTTCCACACACTAGGAAGCCCCTTCGTGGGCGGAGACTGCGGGTGGTGGAGGGGGAAGCTTCGGGTTCACGGAGGAGAGCACAGCAACAGGGGTGCGGAGGGCAAAGCGGAGAGATTGCCGCACAGAGGATCGGTGCCGACTGGCACTCACCAGCCCGAGAGGATTGTCTGCTCACCCGCCAGGGCGGGCGGGGCTTGGAGCTGAGGCTCGGGCTTCAGACGGCTAGCCGGGAGGGAGTCTGGGAAAAAGTCTGGACCTGCCGAAGAGGCAAGAGACTTTTTCTTGCCTCTTTGTTCCCTGGTGCGTGAGGAGAGGGGATTAAGAGCGCTGCTTAAAAAGAATTCAGAATAATGATAGTAAAGATGATCCAAAATCTTGGAAATAGAATGGAGAAAATACAAGAAATGTTTAACAAGGACCTAGAAGAACTAAAAAGCGAACAAACAATGATGAACAACAAAATAAATGAAATAAAAAATCCTCTAGAAGGGATCAATAGCAGAATAACTGAGGCAGAAGAATGGAGAAGTGACCTGGAAGATAAAATAGTGGAAATGACTACTGCAGAGCAGAGTAAAGAAAAAAGTATGAAAAGAATTGAGGATAGTCTCAGAGACCTCTGGGACAACAATAAATGCACCAACATTCAAATTATAGGCGCCCCAAAAGAAGAGAAAAAGAAAGGGACTGAGAAAATATTTGAAGAGATTATAGTTGAAAACTTCCCTAATATGGGAAAAGAAATAGTTAATCAAGGCCAGGAAGCACAGAGAGTCCCATACAGGAGAAATCCAAGGAGAAACACACCAAGACACATACTAATCAAACTATCAAAAATTAAATAAAAAGAAAAAATTTTAAAAGCAGCAAGGGAAAAACAACAAATAACACACAAGGGAATCCCCATAAGGTTAACAGCTGATCTTTCAGAAGAAACTCTGCAAGCCAGAAAGGAGTGGCAGGACATATTTAAAGTGATGAAGGAGAAAAACCTACAACCAAGATTACCCAGCAAGGATCTCATTCAGATTTGACGGAGAAATTAAAATCTTTACAGACAAGCAAAAGCTAAGAGAATTCAGCACCACCAAACCAGCTTTACAACAAACGCTAAAGGAACTTCTCAAGGCAGGAAACACAAGAGAATGAAAAGACCTATAATAACAAACCCAAAACAATTACGAAAATGGTAATAGGAACATACATATCGATAATTACCTTCAATGTAAATGGATTAAATGCTCCAACCAAAACACATGAACTGGCTGAATGGATACAAAAACAAGACCTGTATATATGCTGTCTACAAGAGCCCCGCTTCAGACCTAGGGACACATACAGACTGAAAGTAAGGGCATGGAAAAAGATCTTCCATGCAAACGGAAATCAAAAGAAAGCTGGAGTAGCAATTCTCATATCAGACAAAATAGACTTTAACATAAAGACGATTACGAGAGACAAAGAAGGACACTACATAATGATCAAGGGATCAATCCAAGAAGAAGATATAACAATTGTAAATATTTATGCACCCAACATAGGAGCACCTCAATACATAAGGCAAATACTAACAGCCATAAAATGGGAAATTGACAGTAACACAGTCATAGTAGGGGACTTTAACACCCCACTTTCACCAATGAACAGATCATCCAAAATGAAAATAAATAAGGAAACACAAGCTTCAAATGATACATTAAACAAGATGGACTTAATTTATAGGATATTCCATCCAAAAACAACAGAATACACTTTCTTCTCATGTGCTCATGGAACATTCTCCAGGATACATCACATCTTGGGTCACAAATCAAGCCTCTGTAAATTTAAGAAAATTGAAATCATATCAAGTACCTTTTCTGACCAATTACAGGAAAAAATCTGTGAAATATACAAACACACGGAGGCTAAACAATACACTACTTAATAACCAAGAGCTCACTGAAGAAATCAAAGAGGAAATCAAAATATACCTGGAAACACATGACAATGAAAACACGATGACCCCAAACCTATGGGATGCAGCAAAAGCAGTTCTAAGAGGGAAGTTTATAGCAATACAATCGTACCTTAAGAAACAAGAAACATCTCAAATAAATAACCTAATCTTACACCTAAAGCAATTAGAGAAATAAGAACAAAAAAACCCCAAAGTTCGCAGAAGGAAAGAAATCATAAAGATCACATCAGAAATAAATGAAAAAGGAATGAAGGAAACGATAGCAAAGATCAATAAAACTAAAAGCTGATTCTTTGAGAAGATAAACAAAATTGATAAACCATTAGCCAGACTAATCAAGAAAAAAAGGGAGAAGACTCAAATCGATAGAATTAGAAATAAAAAAGGAGAAGTAACAACTGACACTGCAGAAATACAAAGGATCATGAGAGATTACTGCAAGCAACTATATGCCAATAAAATAGACAACCTGGAAGAAATGGACAAATTCTTAGAAATGCACAACCTTCCAAGACTGAACCAGGAAGAAATAGAAAATATGAACAGACCAATCACAAGCACTGAAATTGAAACTGTGATTAAAAATCTTCCAACAAACAAAAGCCCAGGACCAGATGGCTTCACAGGCGAATTCCATCAAACATTTAGAGAAGAGCTAACACCTATCCTTCTCAGACTCTTCCAAAATATAGCAGAGTGAGAAACATTCCCAAACTCATTCTACGAGGTCACCATCACCCCGATAGCAGAACCAGACAAAGATGTCACAAAGAAAGAAAACTACAGGCCAACATCACTGATGAACATAGATGCAAAAATCCTCAACAAAACACTAGCAAACAGAATCCAACAGCACATGAAAAGGATCATATACCATGATCAAGTGGGGTTTATCCCAGGAATGCAAGGATTCCTCAGTATATGCAAATCAATCAACGTGATACACCATATTAACAAATTGAAGGAGAAAAACCATATGATCATCTCAATAGATGCAGAGAAAGCTTTTGACAAAATTCTACACCCATTTATGATAAAAACCCTCCAGAAAGTAGGCACAGAGGGAACTTTCCTCAACATGATAAAGGTCATATATGACAAACCCACAGCCTACATTATCCTCAATGGTGAAAAACAGAAACCATTTCCACTAAGATCAGGAACAAGACAAGGTTGCCCACTCTCACCACTCTTATTCAACATAGTTTTGGAAGTTTTAGCCACAGCAATCAGAGAAGAAAAAGAAATAAAAGGAATCCAAATCAGAAAAGAAGAAGTAAAGCTGTCACTGTTTGCAGATGACGCAATACTATACATAGAGAATCCTAAAGATGCTACCAGAAAACTACTAGAGCTAATCAATGAATTTGGTAAAGTAGCAGGATACAAAGTTAATGCACAGAAATCTCTAGCATTCCTATAGACTAATGATGAGCAATCTGAAAGTGAAATTAAGAAAACACTCCCATTTACCATTACAACAAAAAGAATAAAATATCTAGGAATAAACCTACCTAAGGAGACAAAAGACCTGTATGCAGAAAACTATAAGATACTGATGAAAGAAATTAAAGATGATACAGATAGATGGAGAGATATACCATGTTCTTGCATTGGAAGAATTAACAATGTGAAAATGACTATAGTACTGAAAGCAATCTACAGATTCAATGGAATCCCTATCAAACTACCACTGGCGTTTTTCACAGAACTAAAACAAAATATTTCACAATTCATATGGAAACACAAAAGACCCCGAATTGCCAAAGCTATCTTGGGAACGAAAAATGGAGCTGGAGGAATCAGGCTCCCTGACTTCAGACTATACTACAAAGCTACAGTAATCAAGACAGTATGGTACTGGCACAAAAACAGAAATATAGATCTATGGAACAGGATAGAAAGCCCAGAGATAAACCCACGCACATATGGTCACCTTATCTTTGATAAAGGAGGCAAGAATATACAGTGGAGAAAAGGTAGCCTCTTCAATAAGTGATGCTGGGAAAACTGGACAGCTACATGTAAAAGAATGAAATTAGAACACTCCCCAACACCATACACAAAAATAAACTCAAATTAGATTAAAGACCTAAAGGTAAGGCCAGACATTATTAAACTCTTAGAGGAAAACATAGGCAGAACACTCTATCACATAAATCACAGCAAGATCCTTTATGACCCACCTCCTAGACAAATGGAAATAAAAACAAAAATAAACAAGTGGGACCTAATGCAACTTAAAAGCTTTTGCACAGCAAAGGATACCATAAACAAGACCAAAAGACAACCCTCCGAATGGGAGAAAATATTTGCCAATGAAGCAACTGACAAAGGATTAATCTCCAAAATTTACAAGCAGCTCATGGAGCTCAATATCAAAAATAAAAAAAAAACCCATCCAAAAATGGGCAGAAGACCTAAATAGACATTCCTCCAAAGAAGATATACAGATTGCCAACAAACACATGAAAGAATGCTCAACATCATTTATCATTAGAGGAAAGCAAATCAAATCTACAATGAGATATCATCTCACAGCAGTCAAAATGGCCATCATCAAAAAAATCTACAAACAATAAATACTGGAGAGGTTGTGGAGAAAAGGGAACCCTCTTGCACTGTTGGTGGGAATGAACATTGATACAGCCAGTATGGAGAACAGTATGGAGGTTCCTTAAAAAACTAAAAATAGAACCAGCATACGACCCAGCAATCCCACTACTGGGCGTATACTCCGAGAAAATCATAATTCACAAAAAGTCATGTACCAAAATGTTCATTGCAGCTCTATTTACAATAGCCAGGACATGGAAGCAACCTAAGTATCCATCAACAGATGAATGGATAAAGAAGATATGGCACATATATACAATGGAATATTACTCAGCCAGAAAAAGAAACGGATTTGAGTTATTTGTAGTGAGGTGGGTCGACCTAGAGTCTGTCATACAGAGTAAAGTACGTCAGAAAGAGAAAAACAAATACCGTATGCTAACACATATATATGGAATCTAAAAAAAAAAAAAAAAAGGTCATGAAGAACCTAGGGGCAAGACGGGAGTAAAGACAGAGACCTATTAGAGAATGGCCTTGAGGATACGGGGAGGGGGAAGGGTAAGCTAGGACAAAGTGAGAGAGTGGCATGGACATATATACACTACGAAATGTGAAATAGATAGCTAGTGGGAAGCAGCCGCATAGCACAGGGACATCAGCTCGGTGCTTTGTGACCACCTAGAGGGGTGGGATAGGGAGGGTGGGAGGGAGGGAAATGCAAGAGGGAAGAGATATGGGAACATATGTATATGTATAACTGATTCACTTTGTTATAAAGCAGAAACTAACACACCATTGTAAAGCAATTATACTCCAATAAAGATGTTAAAAAAAAAAGAAAAATGCTCAGGAATCCTAATATATGAAGTTTCAAAAATGTCTTCCTCTGACTATAAAGCTTGAACACTTAGAAAGCAGTTTTAGAGAAAATGCATAGGCTTGACAACTACCTTTACTAAACACAGCTGAACAAGAGGAGTTGTCATGACTTCTAAGAACAATGACAGCGGACGCAATTTAGACAGTGGGAGAAAACTAGATTTCTTAAGGAGCTTTAATTTCAGAACCACAAATGGTCCCACCTCATTGATTATAGTGTTATCACTATTGAGCCAGCAAGCTTTGTTCTTTTGAACACAGTGTTCATCAGGTCAAGGTTTGGGGTCTAATCCTCATGACAGCTAGTTCATCTTGCTTTGTTCCATGGCCAGAGATAACACCTTATAACCCCGGCCAATCACCTTGCAAATGTGTGCCAGAGAGATTACATTTGAAGGCTTCTCTTGGAAAATGAAGGGCAGCACATTTTAGGGCTGGCAGGAGTACCAGGAAAAGGAATCTAGCCATTATACACTGTTGAGCACGCCATGGATACTATGACTTTATACTTTCAAGGTCAATGTACCCACCTGCAGCTCAGGAACAATAGTTCCCCTCTCTGGACAGGACCCTCCAAATGATGTGAGTGGTGAAGGAAGCACAATAGGGTTTGGGCTGATAAAGTTGGAGATATCGCAGGATGGTGGGTCTGATACAACTCTCTGCATGGTCACTTTCTCCACCACAATAAACTGATTCCAAGGCAACCAGAGCGTCCTCTTCTCAGGTAGAAAAGGTGACCGATCAAAGATTAAGACGACAGAGATACCACCGACAGCTACGAGGTCAAAGCTGAGAAGGAAAAACAGAAGATAGTTTCAACCAAATGAACAACTAAAATAAAATTAAAGTTTAAAAAACAGGTAATTTCAGTGCTCTTTCCTTCTTTTGGGATGCAACTATATCCATTTGTATTCTCTATTTTATTCCTTCTATTCCATCTAACTAAATATTCATTCCATGGAGTGTTCTTTTCACTATCCAGTAGACTTGGTGAGAAAAAATTCCACATCACCAGTTGATATTCACTTAGGATTTATAAATCAATTTTAATGCTTTCTTAAACAAAATCACTGCATGTATTTCTGCAAAGCCAAATCTGACATCACTGCTCCTCCCTGTGCTAGAGAGAACTGAAAGATGGCCATTGAACATTAAGCAACATCTGTAATATGCTGCATTATTCATCTTAAAAAAATTCCTATAATGTAACTCAATAAAAGTAAGGAGCCGAAAGGTTAAATACCTTGTTCACAGTCACAAACATAGTGTCAGAAACCTGATGGTGACTTTGAGATGGCATTTGGAGAGAGATACCAGCTGAGGAAATTTGTTCAGTGAAATTTTCTTGAACAATACCATGCTTGAACCCTCCATATCTGGCTGCCCCCTTTGGCGCCTGATTCTACTTGAACTCTAGATTTAGGATTTCTGGTTCGCTCTAGAATGCCTCTTCGTTTCCTGTTGTAAGGAAGTCTGCAATGGACCCTGTCCATCTCCACTGACAACTCCTTCCATATCTCTGACTAAACAAGACTACCTCTTCTGTAAGTCCATCTCTTGATGTGGTCTCTGAAATGACTCTTCAGCTGGAGCATAATAGACTCAGATTTCAGTTCATTCTGCACTAGATGGCTCTACCTTCCTGCTCTTTTAAGAACAATGATGTCTTTGAGATAATGTACTTGAAAGCATTCAAAAAGCATAAAATACTATGTATACAAGATAATGATAAATTATCATTATATCTTAAAAATGGATAAAGGGCAATGGATACTCCTTAATATTCAAAGCAACTTAAATCCACAGGAGAGAGATGTAAGCAATTCTGTGTTTAAAAAAAAAAAAAAAGAACTTTCTTAAAACACTTTTCAATGGTAAAATGCTCATAGTGAATCAGACTTAATTATGGATATCTCACCACTCCCTTCATATGACATTTATTATATTTATTATAGTATTACCAATTGTGTCCTGTTGCAGAAATCTTTCATGTAGAGATAAGTGGACAGTAACAAAGGATAGCTAATACTGTATTTTTTATTGTTGCTTTTTCAGTCAAGTAGCTGTAATATTAAGGCAGTTTCCAAAAAGAGGATTTGAAGAACTGCATTAGCTTTAGAAAATAATTCAAGTTTAAAGTAAAAAAAGAAAACCCCAAACAGCTTATGGTTTAAGACAGAGAGGCTGAATTCATGATAATACAGGAGGAGTTTAAGGCAAGCGTAGTGGGGGAAAATCCTACATTGCTTGTCAAGAGACCTTTTCTCTGGTTCACATTCTACACTGATTCAACTGTGTCCTTGGGCAAGTTTATTTGCCTCACCCAAACCTCAGCTCTTGAGCCCTTAAAACTGAACTGCTTATTTATTTGAAAACAAAAACAAATGCAAACACGAAAACAAAATAAACTACCCAAACAAGAACATATGTACCTGGGAATTATTCTCTACTTCTAGAAAGATTAAGCAGACAGGCCAGACTTCTTGTTTTGTAGAAAGAATGTGATTTTGGCTTCATACACACCTGGGTTCAAATCTCAAAATTCAAGCTTTGCCATGTTAACTTTGTGTCTTTGGGCTAATTATTTAACCTTCATGAACTTCAGTTTCCTCATTAGGAAAATGGGGCTAATATGGTCTATCACTCAGCTACTACCATAAGCGAGTAAATAAGATAAAGACTTAAGAACCAAGCATATAGCAGGGACTCAACAAATGTTAACTTTCTTCTCAAATCAGATCCATTGCCCTATTAAATTTACAGATGTCTTCTCTTGTAGTTCAGATGAACTCTAGGCCAGTTTTTGATTATCTCCATAAGCAGATACTGAGTTTTAAGTTCTCCTGGGAACTTCCCCTAAGCATCCTGTGTTGGGTTAGTTTTATGTGTCAACTTTGTTGGGCTACAGTACCCAGTTATTTAATCAAACACTAATCTAGGTGTTGCTGGGGAGGTATTTTGTAGATGTGGTTAATATCTACAGTTAGCTGAGTTTAAGTAAAGGGGATTACCCTTGATAATGTGGGAGGGCCTCATTCAATTAGTTGAAAGAGCAAAACTGAAGTTTTTCAGAGGAAGAGGATTTCTGCCTCAAGACTGCAGACGTAGCATCTACTCGTTGCCGAGAGATTCCAGTCTGCTAGCTTACCCTGCAGTTTTTGGAGTTGCCAATCCCCACAATCACATAAGCAATTCCTTGAAATCTCTTTCTTTCTCCCTCTCTATATACAGTTAACCCTTGAACAACGTGGGGGTTAGGGTTACCCCCCAAGCACAGTTGAAAATTTGCTTATAACTTTACAGTTGACCCTCCATATCCACAGTTCCACATCCATGGATTCAACGGACTGCGAATCATGTAGTACTGTAATACATGTTTATTGAAAAAAATCCACACGTGGACCCATGCAGTTCAAATCCGTGTTGTTCAAGGGCCAACTGTATATATATTATACATACATATAATATATATTATATATAATATGTATTATACATATAATACATATGTACATATTATAATACACGTGTATAATATACACACATATGCATGCGTATGTACATTCATATATGCATACACACACACACACACACACACACACACACACACACACAGAGGTTCTGTTTCTCTGCAGAACCCTGACTGATTTCTCCTCTTCCCACCTAGCTATTATATATAGTAAACACTGTCTGGGTGGCTCATTAATTGCCATGGTGGTGGAAGGTGGATCTGTAGCCAACAATCCATCTAAACTATTGCAATACCCAATAGAATGCTGTCTGGATGATTAATTCCTTTGGGATTTCCCCCACCACAAATGGTCTCCATTGGCAAGAGTCAATAAGAACAGGTTACAAAGTCACGTGAGAGTTAGCATAAAACACCCAAGGGAGAGGGCATGCTTGTCTGGAGACCGTTAATCCATAATAAGTCAGACCCGTCCTATTCATAGATGGAAGACTATTGTAGCTTATGTAAAATGCTTATTTCTGCCTTATGGTATCCATAAATGAACAAACTCTTACCTTGAGGGGAATCAGAGGAAACCCTCTCTTCATCTCCCAAAGTCTTCTGAACAAAGTTCTTGAGACCTTTAATGCTCTCAAGAATCTTCTAAGAATGTCAATGCTTCACCTATTTTGCTTATCATTAGCTGAACTATTAATATGAGCATCTGTTACATATCTAAGTTGAAGGTGGTAAATCATAGAAGGTAAGAGCAAGATTACTTGGGTTCAACTTTTGGCTCTACCCTTATTAGCTGTGTTAATTTGGATAAGTTTTCTCGTCTGCCAAATGGGGAGGATGATAATAATGATTCCTATCTCATAAAGTTGTTATGAGGATGAAATAGAATATGTATGAAAATGCAAGGAATACAGTAGATACTCATACATCATCTTTCCTTTAGAATTGCCTTTTTTTTCTTTTCTGCTACTTTGGCCTCTCCCAATCTGCATACCTAATCTCTTCTTACTTTTAGAGGGACCCGTCTTCCACTCCCATCCTTCCTTCTGCTTTTTATACATCACTTTGGTCTCATGACCTAGACTCTTCCTGGTTCCCTATGGAAAGTTGTCAGTTAACTTGTGCAGATGGATGATAATGTGGGTAATTAGTTCTCCAGCCACCATAACATATTTGCATATAACAGGGAGTTTGAAAGAGTCAATAACTTAACCCAAAGCAGTGATACCATTGATGGGAACAAAAGGCACAGTGGCAGAGAGGTGGGATTGAGATTTGGAGACAGAAAGCCAGAACTTTACAGCATTTTGCATATCACACCCTGTCTACTAGGTATCTAAATGCTAACCTCAACCTTTCTATAATCCTTTTGCCCTCAGGTATACAGATGGTCCCCAAGTTACAATGGTTTGACTTAGGGTTTTTCAACTTTATGATGGTGCAAAAGTGATAAGCGTTCAGTAGAAACCATACTTCGAATTTTGATCTTTTCCCGGGCTAGCGATATGCGATAGAAACTCTCTTGTGATGCTGGGCAGCGCAGCGGGCCACAGCTCTGTTGGCCACGTGATCACGAGGGTAAATAACTGATATGCTTACAACTCTTCTGTACTCACACAACCAGTCTGTTTTTCACTTTCAGTTCCGTATTCAATCAATTACATGAGATATTCAATACTTTATTACAACAGGCTTCGTGTTACATGATATTGCCCAACTGTAGGCTAATGGAAATGTTCTGAGCACATTTAAGGTAGGTTAGGCTAGGCTATGATGCTTGGTAGGTTAGGTGTATTAAATGCATTTTCAACTTAAAATATTTTCAACTTACGATGGATTTATCGGGATGTAATCCCATCATAAACTGAGGAAGATCTGTAGTTTCTCTGGATATTCTACTTCTGAAATGTACTTAACTCAGTCTGAGGTAGCAACCAGCAGAGACATATAAATGGAAACTCTCATCACACTGTCACTTTATGTCTAAGAGATGATAGTGGGACTGTCTGGTTGGTATTTGGGGCACATATTTTGAATGCCTACATCCTTTGTGGAGCCTGAGGGAAGAGTTACTGCCAGAGGGGACTCTGGCTAATATCTGTCATCTATATAAACCTAGTTCTCACAGTGAGCTCAGTGGGAGGGTCCTGGTATTTTACTTAAGATTAAAAACACAAAAATAATAATAAAAATTGTCATTCTTTAATGCTTTCTGTAAACTGGAAACAGAAAGTTTATAGACTTTTTAGACATCACATTTCTTTTAGGTTCTTTTGTGAATATCGAATAACTCACTGAAACCTTTGTATACAAGCTAAAAAACCTAAGGCACATCATTTCTCCATAAGAAGCCAAATGTCCCTGTGGGCATATTCTATTTAAAGAAATAATCCATTTCTCAATTTCTGGCACATGGTTGAACCTGCTGGCAAGGGAGAGGCCAGTTTTCTGTACCAGCTACTGGTGCGTGAACTACCAAAATTCCATCATTCAATCTAATTGAGAAAAAAGTCCATTTGAATTAGTAGAGAGCTCTGATTATAGAATATTTGAAAGGAAATAGTTTTTATTGCATATATATATATATATATATATTCAGACTAGATGCTCCCAGAGTAGTTCTGCTGAGCTTGTTATAATGAATAGACAGCTCATTACTAATTAGCAATATAATTTGCATACAAATAATTCATATAATTTCCTAAAATCTTAAAAAGTTTTTCTTAAATAGGTTTAAACTCTTCCTTATTATCTTCTTTAACTATTTTTTGTAAGCCTTTTCTTGAGAGGCAGTTGAAAAAATAAATTCAGCATAGCCCAAGTTGAACAATTAACAATTCTGAAGTGGCTAGGACTAATAATAACATCTGATTTTAGGTTCTTGAAATGACATAGTCTCTCACACTGTGATAAAGCTTCAAGGCAATAGGTCTCTTTATATGAGTACTGAAGCAGCTTGTTATCAGTAGGACATTTCAAGGGTAGCCACCTGGAGTCTAGGGTACCTCAAAGCCATCATTACAATGTTCCTGAGAATCATAAATAGGTACCTTTAAGCTGGACACATGGACCTATTGACTCAAATATTCTAAACGAATGTCTACCTGAAGGATGGCAACAAAAATGTTTTTGTGAGCAAATCCTTTTCCAGGAGGAAAAGATTTAACTAGTGGTCTTGCTTTCCAGGTCTCTGAGAACCTGGGGAAGCCCTTAGAGAACAGCTTGGTGGTTGGTGCTTAAGGTTAAATCACTATGGTTATACAGACACCAAGGGAAATTGGTTAAGCTGGCCATGCTTTTCGACCTGTTATAGCCACTAGTAAAACAGGCAGTCTAGGGAGGACACATTTTTTTTTCCTTTAATGTCTTAATGTGGTTGAATTGTATACCTTTGGAAGAAACCTTTTGGACAACTTTATCTCTGAAATATTTTGAGGCTATCATGGAAAGAACAGCCTAGGTGTTCAGTGCTTCATTACCTGCATCATCTTACTGGATTTTGAATCTGGATTTATAAATGATGAAGGCTTAGATGAAGGCTAGACAACTTTCCACATGGCCAGGGTTTCAGGAAGACCTGACAGTAATAGTACAGGGTTGGTTAGGAGCTAAACTTGGTTTGATTTAGATGGGGAATAGAGGAAATAAATAACACCAATGACTTTTTTAGATACAGCTTGAAGGAAGATGGGCTTATAAACACTGTATCACTTGAGCCCTGGTTTGACTCATGGCTAGAAGTCGGTATTTGGCCCACACAATGATCAGAAGCAATATTGACGTACCTTCCATCTTGCCGGCTGATGGTAAACCCATAATCACTGTGGTGCAAGAAACTAACATTCACCCCTACTAGAGGGGTTCCATCTACAGCCATCACTTGGCCTCGAATCACACAAGCACGCCTGCAACACAAGATCAAAGGCAAATATAAAAGCATGTTGAAACTAGATTCTAGAAGCCAAGTTGGAGAAAGTTTGGAAAACACAGTTCAGTATAACAAAGAAAACAATAATTTCACCAACGAGTAGTAACTTCTAATAACATTTTGGTGACGGTATGAATATCTTTTTTTACCAATAAAAATTGGGATTATACTCAGTATAGTTCTGAATCCTGATTTTTTTTTCTTTTTTTTTTTTTTTTTGCGGTACGTGGGCCTCTCACTGCTGTGGCCTCTCCCGTTGCGGAGCACAGGCTCTGGACGCGCAGGCTCAGCAGCCATGGCTCACGGGCCCAGCCACTCCACGGCATGTGGGATCTTCCCGGACCGGGGCACGAACCCGTGTCCCCTGCATCGGCAGGCGGACTCCCAACCACTGCGCCACCAGGGAAGCCCATGAATCCTGATATTTTAAAGTTGGCAGTGTATTATTAACATTGTCCAATGTAATTAGAAATTCCTTAATATATCATTTTGATATTAGATAATATAGCCCTAAAACAGTATTCCTTGTTTAATCCATTCCCTATTTTAGGATATTTAGTTGTTTCTTATTTTTTTCTGCAATGAATTTCTTATTATTTCCTTGGGAGATAGTCCTAGTCATGGAAAGATACTTTTCTCTTATTAAAATTAATTAAAATGAAAATTAGTTAATACATAAATACACTGTAGACGTGACTAAAGTCCCTGCTGACCACCTCCCTCCCAGTTCCTGGTCTTCTCCCCAGAGGTAATCAGCAATATCATTTTGTTGAGGGCATTTTCTATGCATTTACATACATAGGTGTGAACACTTTTAAGGCTTTTAATACATATTGCCAAATTACTTTTTCTGGAAAAATAATTTTAAAAAAAAAGCAGACTTAGTTGGGCAAATTTTAACAGTTAAAGTCTGCAAAAGAGACATGGTCCCTGACTATATAGCACCATGTTTCTCTGGCCTGATTGAAATAAAATATTTCAGGAGATTTTCCCTTTAAACAAATGAGTTTCATCTTTGCCAAATAAGAGGATTCCATTAGACTAGCCCTTAACAGAGCTGTCTCCCAGGGACATAGTCCACTAAAATGAGTATACTTTCAGCTCTAGCTTGGCCAACAAGTTGTAACTAAGTTTAGGAGCTTGGCAGTTAAGAAGGCCCAGGGGCAACCCCCAAGCACAGATTTTTCACTTGTCTGTTGTTTTTTGGGGTTGGGGGGAAGGGGGTCTCACCAGAGTCCAGTCCTAGCCTTGGCAGCCCTGAGCTCTAGAACGTGCATTTTATAGCTGGAGCTGGTAGGGTTGAAGAGGTTGGGCAGGGTCAATGATTTTTCCTAGGGCATTAATGTCATTTTTTTCACCAAGTGAGATCAGGGTATCCAGGCAAGCTCAATCTTGGATTAAAAGGGGCCATGTGATTTGGGCAAACATGACTTTCCAAAGTAACCATAATAATTCCACCCTGGCATTATACATTCTTTCAATCAGCAAGTCAAGGCAATGTGTCTAAAGGCTCTTGGCCACAAAGATCGTTCAAGAGAAAAAAAAACTGTGAAAAAGCAAAAGACAGTCACCAGCCAAAGCTTGGGTTTTATGTTATGGCCAATAAACATCACCACTAAATTCTACTGTAATCAGAACTGGGATATGTTATACTGATAGGATTTATCCTGCATCACCTAACGCCTTCCCCCAACACAAACTATAAGCCATTAAGTATTGCACAAAGCTAAGCTAGTATAATTGTTGCTATTAGTGTCTTTATTGAACTCTTCAGACTGACATTCCTAGTTCTGACATAAATTAGTGGGTTTCTTCTTTCCAATGAGCTGTCCATCTTATGAATTCTGTAAATAATGGTTCTGAATGGCACGCAAATGGCACACTGGCACTTGCTTTGCCTTGTCTGATTCTTCCAGTTCCTTTTTGGGGAGATTTTGAAATCCCATTTGTTCTAATAGAGAAGATATTTGAAAGTCACCAAGTTCTGGATTTTGAACTAATCCTGACAGATCTGGTCCCTGGTTCTAAATCCAATGTAACAAGACATGAAAAGAGAAGGATGTCTCTAGTTTTATACAGTGACATTTTGAAGGTCTTTACAAAGCAAAATTTGACAAACTGGGTATAGATTAAGTAGAAACCAGCTGAGAAAATCTCCTGCAAACTACATAGGGATCGGAGCCAGAGGGGCTGAGAAGAAACGTGCATTAGTGAGGCCACCTTCATTTGAAGATCAGTTCAACATTGCTTCCTGAGCCCTATGTGCTGATGGCTTTTGGGGGGGTGTGGTAGGGGGTAATTATGAACTTGCCAAGGCTTTACCAGTTAACAAGGTGGGCTTTTCAACAATGATGCCTACTTAGGTGGTCGCTGATTCCCTACTGGCAAGACAATTCTACACGCGCTTATTTTATTTGTTCACATTAATCTAGACATTGTGTCTTCCCACAGCTGTACTAGGCTCAATTATTTTTGTTTTTATTTTGTCAAGCCTAGTTGACATTATTTGCTCATATTTTAGGACAGACACAGATCTGTCTCTTCTCTTCGCTGCTCTTTTATTTTCTATACAGCTTATATTTATGAAGGATCCAGGCTGGTAAGTGAAAGCCTCATAAAAGTCATCATTATTCTGTGCACTTCTCTTGTATTCTTCTCTTCCTTCATTCTGTATCTCATTCTGAGTAGACTTGTCTTTTGACTCCTCTTCTCTTTAACATTACTCATATTTTATGAAGCACACAGATATGTGTGATAACGACTCATCAAAGTCATCATTATTCAGACATTGTCTATCTGTTCTCATTCATTTCACTCATCATTCATAAATAATACTCAGACTTGTCTTTCAACTTCCCTACTTTTTTTATTCCTCATATTTTATGATCCACACCAACTTACAGCATACGATAAAGCCCCATAAAACTTATTATTTTACATTTATCAGCATTGAACTCTCTTTGTAACGTATTGGATTTTAAATGTTCTAAGATTCCCTGTATCTTGCTGCATTTGCTTCCATTATTTACACACTCCATGTCATCCATTTTTCACAAGAATAACTCTTAGCTCCTTTCATTCCTGGGTTACTAGTACTTACTATAATCTTTGACCAACATCAGTCATCCTGCATCAGTATAAGTTGTCTAAATTTCCGGACAGTATTATTCTTTTTTAATTGGCAGTAATTTGGATTGGCACTGCATGCAGAAACCTAGGAAAAAAATCTTCTCAGGCAAACTCTCCATTTCAAAAAGAATGCTCTCAAGTCTGCTCGCTTCCCCAGGCTACTCGAGCTACAGATGGCCCTTAGGGAACCTTCAGATATAGTCTTGGCAGATATGGTGTATTGTGCCACTTCATACAGCACAACTGCCACTTTGTGCGCTCCAGCTTCTAAACTCAACTTTCTTCATTAATTGTGGGGGGTAACCTTGTATCTGCTTTATTTTTCCTGATTTACGCAACCACTAAAATATACTTTCTCCCCCATGTACATAATCTGTTTGTTTATGTTTCCAATATCCAAGGTGGCCTGCATAATTCACCTTTTTCCTAGGTTAGATCCTTGCTGAAGTAGTGAGGCATCTATGGCTGGGGTCTGTCTTCAGTCATCCCACAATCTTACTTTCCGTGTTTTTTGTCATGCCCAATTGCGGTGCCTCCCTGTTTCCTGTCCAGCTTCTTCAAATCACCATTTAAGTGAGGCTGTCATACTTGGCCTGTCCTTGGGTCTGTCCTGAGGAAACATCTTGAACTCTTAAACCTTTGCCACATGAAAAAGTTCAACGTGAGTCCTAAACCTTTAAGGACCTGTCTTTTCCTGAAACTTTTCCATTAAGTAATATACGGAACCCTTGTGAACCTTCCAAACTAGATCACAGAAGCTACTGTCTGGACTATCATGAAGCTGGCCCTGCACATGTGTATAGCAGGTATGTGCCCAGTGTGACTGTCTTTTGTGTTGGTTGTGTGTGTGTGTTTGTGTACTCTCAATGGCGGGTACTGCATGCTTTCCATCTTTGTCCGGGGCTCTCCTTCTTTGATCCACAGACTTGGATGGGATATTTTGCTTCCTTGAACCTCTAAAAACAAGGACTTCTCCCTGCTATTGTGGGTTAGAGCAAGATAACTTGAACTTGGATGAACGTGTCCAATGTGACTTTAAAAACATGTATGGGGAAGATCACCCCTCACAAGTGTCTCTTTTCTTCTTCTCTGGATAATACAGGCCAAGCTGTCGACCTGCTGTCCCTATGCTAAAGCAGCAACCTCAGAGGAACTGCTTCTCCCTTTAACTAAATGCTGAATCCTCTAGGTGTTTGGAGCTTGGTCTGAAGAACAGGGCATCTTGGAAAACGCAAGTCAGTACACTTTACCGAGAGCCTTATTTAACTAACAAGCTGCTTGTTAGACAGTTCTGATGCAAAAGGTCTAATTCATTCTGTATTTGCTATTTTCGTGGCATAGTCAAATTATCCCTAGCCTTCAATAAATTCTTGGTTTCATTTTCCTCTTCCCTTCTTTGTTGTCTTTTGTCTTTGGTGTCAAATTTCCAATATTCATTCAACACCTCAGGCAAAAAACATTAACCTCAAGCACAAAAGTTGGTTTGAAAAACAAGGCTGAAAACTAAATTGCTGAAAGAAGATGTAATTTACTGCATGGTATTTCTGATTAAAATCTTTCGTAAGGAAAATGAGGCTCAAGGGCTAGGGAAGTTATAGCTATTTGCTTTTGTTGCTAATAGGAGCATAAGCAACCTTTGAAGGGTAACATTCAAAATCAAGGACCTGGCCAGCAGGGGATCTAGCAGCAGGTGGACAGGTTAGGTTGTTTTTTCCACAGGAACAGATGAAATCTTTTCCGCAGCTGACAGCTCTGGTCAAGAGATAGCATCGACAAGGACTGGGCTGAGAGAGGCTATGTGAATCCTCTGCTCAGTGGTGTTGGAATCCTGCCCTGTAAATTCCTCTA